TATACCCCAAGAAGTCCAAATCCAAAAGCCCATTACCATATTGCTAAGAGGCCCATAAATCTCAATTGTTCTATCGACCCAAGATCACCATGCTCGGAATATCATCCATCTTCACCAAGAGTTGTTCCACGAAAGACCAACATTGCTCCAAAACCAACTTGTAATTTTGATGCTCTACATAGAAGCCCAAACTATATCCCAAACCCAAGCTCTGGCCACACTCCAAACTACAGTGACTACAATCCAATCTACCCAGCCAACCCAAATGAGAAAGGGAAGGCCAAGCAAGATGCATGATCTGAATTATGATCCAAATGAGGAAGACTATTCTGAGAGTGTTGCTTGATTAAGTGAATCATGTTATCTTATTTTCTTCCAATAATTTACCTTAGATGGCAAAGTTATACTCTCAAATTGATTATTAATGATATGAAGTTATTTTATTGAATTTTCTTATATTCTTGAATGAATTAAATGGTTATATGAGTAGAACCTATTTTAATTTTCAATGTATGGTATAAATACCTAAGAATTATGTCTGCAAAAATGGGAAACCAAATAGGAAATAGGCGCACTAGTTCCAAAGTAGGGAAGGTACTTAGAAACCTAACTCATATAACTGAAAACATCACTAAAGTGGTGAACTAAGGAAACCGTCATTTTGACCTTAACTCTTACAATGAAATTTTCAAGAGAGTAGCTGCAGAAAAATGATAACTTGTTATTTGGTATGATTTTAGAGTAGTTTTGAACCTTGTTTTCGTTATTATTTGGCATCAAAGTTCATTATTTATCCTATTTTTATGCAAATTTTGTACCATCCATGCTTCACGGGTTGTTTGTGTTTTTGATGTAATGTAGCTATTTTAAGCCCTATGGATGTGATCAAGCATGAGTGAGCAAGGAGAAGGGCAATCTTGGTTGATAGAGCCACAAAGGAAGAAGGATGAGTGCCTTAAAGAAAAATGAAAAGTTTTTGGAGAGCCTTTAAGGGTTGTTTGCATAAGTGTCAACTTCAATTGACCATAACTTTTTATCTACTCAACCTTTTGAAGTGATTCAAATTAGAGATTAAAGTTTGTCTTAAGAGCTTTGCAAATATTGGTCACAAGTCCATTTTTGGCAAGAAACAAAGAAGTTACAGCCTCCCGAACTTAAGCTGTCTAGGTAGGGAATTATGCACGGACGTGCAACATAATGTCACGTCTGTGTAGACCTGCTCGATTCTTTGCAGTAGCTACTGCCCACTTTTACACCCTTCTACATGTCCGTGCCAAACTTGGCACGTCCGTGTAAGTTTATTTCGGGGCTATTTTCTCGTTTTCTCCGTCCTTTTTGTTTGGAGGTTAATATATATACCCCCTTGGCTCCCCTTGTATGATTATCCAAGTTTTTAGAGCTTTTCTCTTTGTTTGTAATCTTAGAACATTAAAACTCTCAAATCATTAGTTAGATTTTAATTATTAGCTTGGAAAACTCAATTTCAATCATTGTAGAAGACAAAATTCCGCCATTGTTGTTCAAGTTTGAAGCTTCTAGTAACATTCTCTTTCCTTACTTTTCTATCATCTCTCTACTTAGTTGTTTGTTAGCTAATTGTTTAATTCTTGTAGGCTTACATTGTTAATTAGCTTAATTCTTAGTTTGATTTTGCTCACTAATTGTTTAATTCTTAGTTTAATTCTTAGTAGTCTAATTTCAACGGTTTGAGTAAAACCCTCAATGTAGTCACATAGAACTTGTTACATGTGCTAATTTGGTTATTCTGAGTGTCTTAATTAGTTGAACTTAAGTGGTTTCATTGTTTAGTTCTTGTATATGGCCATTGCTAGAACTATTTATCAAAGCTTTCTCAACGAAGGATCGAGAGATGAACTTGAGTTAGCTTTCTTATGCTTAATTGACTTGAAATGCCATGAGAATAGGAATTTCCATTCAAGGAAATATTTATGTGTCATCGTGTTATGCTTTAATACTTGTTTTATGCTTTGTGACCACGAGAGTAGGTGGAATTCATGATTCAGGTAATCCCTCTTGCTTGAGAGAGTGGTTGGGTGCCTTAGATTACTTCCCCTAGTTTTTCCCCTAATTTACCTGATTGATACATGTTAATCATGATTTGTGATGAAGTTGAGTGGTGTAACTCGAGCCTTGGATTCCTCTTAATATTATTAATTTCCCCTTAGCCTTAGTTGAATTGAACTAGTAGAAGTTACTTAAAAACAACCCAAATTTGACTTGATTTAGCTTATTTAAACGGTAGTATTTCGGTGGTTGATTAAACGCCTCTCTTGGGTTCGACCCTTTCTTACCCCTGCTAGTAGTTAGTGAGAACAGAATAGGATTTATGATATACACATTTTATACATAGACTTATCCCGAATTTTCATCCCGACTTGGAATTGTATGGTTTTAGGCTCTTTAGAGCCATTTTCCGCTAACATTCTCTTCTCTAGTGTGTTTGGTGTATTTTTATAAGTTTTACAGGAATTTGAAGTTTCTCGGATGATTCGGACATGTTTTGAGCATTTTGGAGATGTTGGTGGACAAGCATGTAAAACCGAGCTAAACAAGAACCAGTCTTAAAAGAATTTGCAAGCAATGAGCATACTTTGTACTGTGCCTGATCGGGATAAGCATGCCTGGTTAGACCGGGCACAGTAGGAATTCCTAGTTGAAGTTATTCAGGAAGTAAAGAAGCGATTTTATGGTATTATGCCACGCGCCCGATCGGGCAGGCCTCGCCCGGTTGGACCGGGCACGTGGGGGTTGGTTGTACTACGAAGATCAGGATTGCAAGCCAACAAAGGTTGTGCCTCGCGCCCGATCGGGCGCCATATGCCCGGTTGGATCGGGCGCTGAGGAAGAATGCAAGGAAGAAACAACTGCTTATTTAATCCCACCTGCCCGATCGGGGTGTTATTGCCCGGTCCGACCGGGGCAGTGTATTGCGATTCCGGTTTTTATTATTTTAGAGTTTTTATTTCATTAGGGTTTAAATACCCATTGTAATTATCATTAGTTGACAGATTATTATTTCCTTAAGTTTTATTTCTCTCTCTAGAACCCTAGTTTTCATACTTTTTAGCAATTTAATTCCTAAGTTAGATTTGGGTATTGTTGATTAACAATTTGAGTAATTTCAATTGAAGCATCATTCGTATTCATCTCTATTCCTTTATCTTTCAATTATTTTTGTTTTCAATTATGTTTTCCTTGATTATTATTGTTATTGCTTCTTTCAATTTGTGTGAGTATTTTTCTAATTCCAAGATCTAGGGTAGCCCAATTATGATTGATGCATGAATTAATTCTTTAAATTCTCTAATGACTATTGTAATTGTCTATGCTAAATTGATTGTGATTATGCCAATGCTATATTAGAGATAATTAGTATTGTTATTATTCCATTGTTTCTATCACAACGAGAGTTGGATTTTAACGGAATTGAGTAAATTGATTTAGGATTTGAAATTCAACATGAGAATAGTTGAACAGATAATTGGGAATTGAAGTAAAGTGTTTAATGTCTCTAATTTGCATGATACCATGAGAATAGGCTTGATTGTGGGTTAGGGGTGATACTCGAGAGAGGTCCTTGGTATTTGTTAGGGGGTTTGCTTTTCCCCATGTTAATTGGAATTGTATGTTAAGGGTAGATATATAATTGCATCGATCGTAATTGTGGTGATACTTGATCTTGGATGTTTTAGTTTATTGATTCATTATATTCTTTTGATTTATTCTAGTTTTCCATACTTTAGCTCTTAGTTATTCTACCATTGATTGATTCTTGCTTGGTAATTACTTGAGTCTAGATAAATTGGGTGAACCATAGTCTCTGTGGGATCGACCCTGACTTACCCTGCTACATAATTAGGAGGAATAGTTAGGTTATTTTTACTAGGTGTGCGATCTCCTACCAAATTTTGGCGCCGTTGTCGGGGACTAACGGTTTCATTCAATTATTTGTGATTCGTTTTTGCTAAGCTTTATTCGTTGCTTCGGCTATTTTCTCTTGTGTTTTTGATATTATTTCTCTAGTTTTCTTGTTGCATGCCCACACGACGCTTAGGGTCTGAAGATCTTGAACCATTTGACTTTGAGATTAAGGCAACTTTAAGGAGAAGGAGAACAAGGAATCGACGAAGGAGAAACATGGAAGATGCCACGAAATCCCTTTTGGAGTATGGTATTCATGATATGACTACCGGACTCTTTTCTAGTATTGTCAGGCCACCTGTGACGGCTCAGCACTTCGAGCTTAAGCCCCAATTCATTCAATTTATCTCCAATGACTCATTTGCAGGCTCACCACATGATTGTCCGGTAAGTCATATTGATAGTTTTCTGGAGAAATGTGATACAATGAAAATGAATGGTGTTACAAATGATGCTATCAGACTACGCCTTTTCCCTTTCTCATTAAGGGATAGGGCAAAGGAATGGTTGAGAGATGAAGGCACTGGCTCGTTCGATACATGGGACAAGCTAGTGAAAGCCTTCTTAGTAAAGTTTCTAGGACAGGAGAAGACTGCTAGGTTGAGAAATGAATTATCCACCTTTAGGCAGTCAGATGATGAGTCCCTATACGATGCGTGGAGGAGATTCAAGCGATTGCAGAGGCAATGCCCCCACCATGGTATTCCTGAATGGATGTTAATCCAAACCTTCTACAATGGTCTAACTCACGAGTTCCGTATCTACATTAATGCTGCGTCCGGGGGTTCTCTCTTGATAAAGAATCCAACTGATGCAAAGGAGTTAGTTGAGAAAATGGCGGCCAATGATAACTATCATCCAGGTGGCCAAAACAGTGTGAAAAAGGAGGTAAATTAGATGTTGATGCTTTAACTCTTTTGACTAGTTCTGTGCAGGCATTGACAAGCAAATTCGATAGGTTCCAAGCTTAAACATCCACTAGCTCACCTGAGATTTGTCAATTGTGTAATGTGGAAGGTCATATTGCACCCAATTGCCGCCCACAAAGTTTAAATGAGATGTCGATTGAGGAAGCTAATGCATTCTACACCTCTAACCCCAAAAGGCCATATGACCCCCATTCAAACACATACAATGAAGGTTGGAAGAATCACCCAAATTTTTCCTACAAGAATACCCAGGCTCAACAAAATCCACCTCCACCACCACCTCGAAACAACAACTACAATGCACCACCTGGTTTCCAACCAAGGCCACCTCCAGTCCAACAACCTATTCAACCACCTCCTCAAAAGTCCAACCTTGAACTAATGTTGGAAAACTTTATCACCACAACCAACAATTCCATCCAACATCAAAACAGTTCCATACAACAGCTACAAGCCCAGAGTAAGCTCATGGAAAATCAGATAAGCCAACTTGCTCACCAAGTTGGTCAATCCTTAAAGATACCGGGGACCTTTCCGGGTCAGACAGAGCAACCACAGAAAGGGCATTTGAATGTTGTTACTTTGAGAAGTGAAAAGCAATTGGAAGATCCTCCTATCAAGGAGCCATCAAAGGAGGTCGTTGAAGAAGTAGGTGAAGGTGAGAAGGAGATTCACAATGCTACGGTCGAGGATGAAGCAAAGGATGCAACTCCAAAGCCACTTGCTCCATATATGCCTAAAGTTCCTTTTCCTCAGAGGCTAGCCCAAGCTAAACTTAAGAAAAAGTACGGTAAATTTCTTGACATTCTTAAAAAGCTTCATATAAGTATTCTGTTTTTAGATGCTATATCCGAAACGCCTTAATATGCTAAATTTTTAAAGGATATGCTTTCTAACAAGAAAAATTTGGAAGAGAATGCTACAGTTGCTTTGAATGCAGAGTGCAGTGCTATTTTGCAGAACACTCTACCTAAGAAATTAGGTGATCCAGGCAGTTATTCAATTCCAGTGAAGCTTGGAGATATTGAAATCAACAGGGAACTATGCGATCTTGGTGCAAGTGTAAGTCTCATGCCGCTGTCCAGCTGTAAGAAGCTACAAATGGGTGAACTCAAACCCACACGCATTTCCTTGCAACTTGTAGACAGGTCAGTCAAATTTCCTTTGGGAGTGCTTGAGGATGTACCTCTTCGTGTAGGTAAATTTTTCATTCCTTGTGATTTTGTTGTGATGGAAATGGAGGAAGATGTGAATGTTCCAATTATACTTGGTAGACCTTTCTTAGCTACTGCAGATGCAATCATTAACATGAAGAAGGGTAAGATTACTTTTGAAGTAGGTGATGAAAAATTCGAATACTCACTTTTGAATGTTATGGATACTCCCTCTATGGGAGACACTGTTTGTCAGGTTGATGTCCTTGACGAGTTGCAGAGTGAGCAGCTTCCTTTGAGCAAACCAGATGACGCACTTGAACAAGTGCTAGTAGGAAAGGATGATGGTGAAGGAGATTGGGAAGCAAGAGAATATGCCAAGCTACTTGAAGAAGCAAAGGCCAACCCAATCGCTAATTCAATCAAAGAAACACTTAGTGCAATCAGTATTGGGGAGAGTACTAAGCCTCCCAAGGTAGAGTTGAAACCTCTCCCTTCTAATTTACAATATGCATATCTTGGTCCTAATAATTCATACCCTGTTATTGTTAATGCTGAACTCAAAGACACAGAATTGGAGCAATTGCTCAATGTTCTAAAAACATATAAAGGTGTAATTGGGTACACCATTGATGATATTAAGGGTATTAACCCTTCTTTTTGTATGCATAAATTATTCTTGAAAACGATCATGCCTCTTCTGTAGAACCTCAAAGAAGACTTAATCCAAATATGATGGAGGTAGTGAAAAAAGAGGTTCTAAAATTGCTTGCTGCAGGAATAATCTACCCTATCTCTGATAGTAAGTGGGTTAGCCCTGTACAAGTAGTACCAAAGAAGAGAGGTATGACCGTTGTCAAGAATGACAAGGGTGAGCCAGTGGCTACTAGGACTGTTACAGGGTGGCGAATGTGTATAGATTATAGGAAATTAAATAAGGCCACCCTTACGGATCATTTCCCCTTACCCTTTATTGATCAAATGCTTAAAAGGTTGGCAAAGCATTCCTTTTTCTGTTACTTGGATGGATATTTTGGTTTCTTCCAAATCCCCATCCGTCCTTGTGACCAGGAAAAGACTACTTTCACATGTCCATATGGCACTTTTGCATATCACAGGATGCCATTTGGATTATGTAATGCCCCTGCCAGTTTTCAAAGATGTATGATGGCAATTTTCTCAAGACTCATAGAAAATTCTATGGAAGTATTTATGGATGATTTCTCTGTCTATGGAACATCTTTTGATGTATGCCTTGAAAATTTGAAAAAAGTGCTCCAAAGATGTAAAGAAGTCAATCTGATTCTAAACTGGGAAAAATGCCATTTTATGGTGCAACAGGGAATTGTTTTAGGTCATGTTGTATCAAACAAGGTTATTCAAGTTGATAAGGCTAAGATAGAGGTATAGAGCGTTTACCCCCTCCGAACTCTGTTAAAGGAGTTCGAAGTTTCCTTGGTCATGCAGGTTTTTACCGTCGCTTTATTAAGGATTTTTCGAAAATCGCTCGACCCCTAACTGAGCTTTTAGCTAAGGATGTTCCTTTTGTTTTCTCTGATGCTTGTCTTGAGGCTTTCAACAGGTTGAAGGAAGCTTTGATCACTGCTCCTGTCATGCAACCCCCAGATTGGAGCCTGCCATTCGAAATCATGTGCGATGCTAGTGACTATGCAGTAGGAGCCGTCTTGGGGCAAAGGAAGGAGAAAAAGCTTCATGCCATTTATTATGCTAGCAAAACTCTTAGTTCTGCTCAAATGAATTATGCCACAACTGAAAAAGAGATGCTAGCTGTAATATATGCAATTGACAAATTTCATTCTTACTTGGTTGGCTCTAAGGTCATTATTCATACAAATCATGCAGCATTGAGGTACTTAATGACCAAAACCCATGCAAAGCCTAGGTTGGTTCGATGGATTCTTCAATTACAGGATTATGATATAGAGATCAAGGATACAAAAGGGACGGAGAATGTTGTTGCAGACCGTCTCTCCCGTCTTCTCCTTGACCCAGAGGATGGGGACGATACTCCTTTCGATGATTCTTTCCCTGTAGAGAATTTACTAGCTTTATTGCAAACTGAATCACCTTAGTATGCTGACTTGGCTAATTTCCTCTCTACAAGTACAATGCCTCATGGCTACTCCTCTCAACAAAGGAAGAAATTCCTTTCTAAGGCAAGGAGATATTTCTGGGATGATTCGTTATTGTACAAACAATGCGCAGATTCTATGATTCGAAGATGTATTCCAGAAATTGAGGTAAATTATATAATTTCTCATTGCCATGACTTACCTGTGGTGGACATGCAGGCCCTTCGATGACAATTGCAAAAATCTTGCAATGTGGATTTTATTGGCCTACAATGTTCAAGGATACATACGCCTATGTCAAGGCCTGTGATAGATGTCAACGGACTGGAACAATATCCAAGAGGAACGAGATGCCACTCAACAACATACTCACTACTAGAAAACAGGTGATTTACGACGGAAAAATTCCGTCGGAAACCCCCTGAATTCCGTCCGAAAAGGCCGTTTCCGGCGGAATTTCTGTCGGAACCGGTTGTCGGAAACCCTTTTGTCTGAAAAACGGCCTTTTCCGTCGGAAAACACTTTTTCGACGGAATTTCTTCGTGGGAAGAGGAATTCCGGTCACCGGAAAGTCCGTCGGAAAATTCCGATGGAATTCAAATCCGCCGGAAACTTTCGACTGAATTCAAATCCGCCAGAAACTTCCGACGGAAATTCCGTCAGAATCTGCAAAAAAAAAAAAAAAAAAAAAGCCCTGGCACCTCTGGCAGCACCTCCCACACCCACCTAACCCACGCATAACCACCCCTTTTATCCCAGACCACCCCAACCAACACGCAGCCCTACCCACCCCTGCCTGCCCAGAAAACCCCCACCCACACGCAGCCCCACCCACACGCAGCCCCACCCACCCCAGCCTTCCCAGAAAAAACCCCCACCCACACGCAGCCCCACCCACCCCCGCGTGCCCAGAAAAACCCCTACCCACACGCAGCCCCACCCACACCCAAAAACAAAAACCGCACAACCAAAAAAATAAAATCCAAACAAAAACCACAAAATCTAAACAAAATCGAAACCACAACCAAAAAAACAAAATCCATACAAAAACCACAAAATAAAAAAAAACAATTTATATATTACATTCTCCAAAAATCCGAAAAATTACAAACTAACATTACAAAATTTAAATAATTATATTACAATTTCATCAAAAAAATAATTATAATCATAAATTTGTGAAAAAAAACCTAGATCTACAAACTAACCAAAAAATAACCTAGATCTACAAACCTACACTTTCGGCCTTCTACGGTGCTTGACGGTGGACGACTGGTGGTTGAAAGTGTTGGTGAGCAGCGGCGGTTGTTGCGGTTGTTGATGTTGGGGATGTTTCTTTTTTTGAAGGCTTGTTGATGTTGATGTTGCAATAGAAGAAGGGGGAAAGAGAAATAGAAAGATGGTTTAGGTGAGAAAGATGGTGGTGGAGTGGTCGTGGCTGGTTGAGGTAAGAAAGAGATGAGAGGAGGGAGCTAGCTAGAAGTGAAACCCAGAAGAGAAGGAAGGGAAAGAGGAGAGGAGGGAGAAGTGAAACGCAGAAGAGAAGGGAAAAAGGAGAGGAGAGAGAAGGAGAAAAGTGGCGGAATGGAGGAGTGAGAAAATACGAATGAGATCCGGTTTTAAATGTAGGGTTTTTTCTTTTTTTTTTGTTATTTTTTAAACCTGAATTCCGACGGAAATTTCCGTCGGAATATAAATTTTCCGACGGAAAAATCCGTCGGAATTTTCCGACGGATTTTATTTCCGTAGGAAGTTTGATATTCCGATGGAAAAATCCGTCGGAATATTCCGACGGATTTTTTCCCGTAGGAAATTTAACATTCCGACGGAATAATCCGTCGGAAATTTCCTACAGAATTTCTACGGAATAATATTCCATCGGAAATTTCCTACGAAATTAATGTCCGTCGGAAACTGTCTGTTCGGAAATAGACCTATTTCTAGTAGTGTACTCGAGGTCGAGTTTTGACGTGTGGGGGATAGACTTCATGGGACCATTCCCTACCTCCTATGGAAATCGATATATTCTAGTGGTCGTTGACTACGTCTTAAAATGGGTTGAAGCAATTGCTACTCCAACCAACGATGCTCGTGTGGTAAGTAAGTTTTTCAAGAAAGTCATTTTCCCTTGTTTTGGTTTACCACGTGTGTTGATTAGTGACAGGGGAACACACTTCCTGGAGCATCGATTTGAAGCAATGTTGAAAAAATATGGAGTGCAACATAGGCTTGGAATTGTCTATCACCCTCAAACAAGTGGCCAAGTCGAGGTATCCAACCGAGAGATCAAGTCCATTATAGAGAAAACAGTTGCCAGAACAAGGAAAGATTGGTCCGCGAAGTTAGATGACGCATTATGGGCGTACCGAACGGCTTTCAAAACGCCAATTGGAACAACCCCATATAGACTTGTGTACGGGAAAGCATGCCACCTACCCGTTGAGCTAGAACATCGAGCATTTTGGGCCATCAAAAGCTTGAATTTCAATAGACTGTTACGACTCAATGAACTAGATGAGCTTCGTCTCAAAGCTTATGAAAGTTCAAAGCTATATAAAGAGAAAACAAAAAGGTGGCATGACAAAAACCTTGTGAGGAGAGAGTTCAAGGAAGGAGA